CAGCATGTTTGATAGACCAACTCCCAGAATTCCCCAGCCAGCATGTTTGATGGACTTCAACTCCCAGAATTCCCAAGTCAGCATGTTTAATGGACTTCAACTACCAGAATTCCCTAGCAGGCATTTTGATAGACTTCAGTTCCCAGAATTCTCCAGCCAGCATGCTTGAAGACAGGTGGACCTCAACTCCCAGAATCCCCCAGCCACTCATGGGGGATTCTGGGAGTTGAAGTCCACCTGTCTTAAAAGTTTCTAAGGTGGAGAAATCCTGATCTCAAAAGATACTCCAACCTTGCAAGTTTTTGGTATACCTTTCCAGCCTCCCTTCTTCCTCACTTCTCTTTCTTCTCTTCTTCTCCCCTTTTCTGGAAGGTACGTGATCAGCAGTTTGGAGCTGCTGGTGGCTGAAGATTACATGATTGTATATCTGAATGGCGCCACTCCACGGAGGAGAATGCCGGGCATCGGCTGGCTGAAAAAGTGCTACCAGATGATCGACAGACGGTAAGGAGGGTCCATCCCACCCAATACGGATCCTACGTTACCATCGGTTTGGTTGAGAAAGGAAAGGCTGACACACTCTCCTTGGGAGTGGGTGGGTGTGTATATTTTCTCACATCTGAGCATTTTACTTACCTTCTTTTTAAGTGTGTTTGGCCTGGAATCCTCAGGGCCAGGCATTTATAATTGGGTCTTTGGGCCATAAATTTGATATATGTATGTATCTCCATCTCCATCTCCATCCCTATTTATCTACCCACCTACCCACCCACCCATCTATAATCTATCTATCTACTGTATCATTCTCTCTCTCTCTCTCTCTCTCTCTCATATCTATCTATCTATCTATCTGTTCATTAATATCTATGACATCTATTTCACCTCTCTCTCTATTCATCAATTTCTATCTATATCACCTGTCTCATCTCTCTCTCATCTATCTCATGTCGTCTGTCTCCGTCTCTCTCTATAATCTATCAATCATCTATCTATCTATCTATCTATCTATCTATCTATCTATCTATCTATCTATCTATCTATCATCTATCATCTATCTATCTATCTATCTCGTTTGTCTATCTCTCTCTCCCTCTCTCTCTCTCTCTCTCTCTATTCATCAGTATCTATCTATATGCCATCTATCTCATCTCTTTCTCATTATCTCATATCTGTTTATCTGTCTGTCTGTCTGTCCGTCCATCCATCTATCCAGTATCTGTCAAATGTATGGCCCAAAGACCCAATTATATATAGTCCTCTGTGTCTATCCAGCATGGAAAGGAGAATTATGCTGCACTGGGAGTGAAAAAATGACTTCAGGACCCCTAATCAACCATTATTGATTTATTTTTACAGCTTTTAAAATAACAGGAACAAAAACAAACAAAGCACAAAGATCATCCTGACAGAAATACACACGCAATGAAAAGGAGAAAAAACAACAGCAAATACCCTTCCAAGTGGTTTAAAAATAATAATAATGAAAAAATAACAACAGAAAAAAGGGGGGAAATCTGGGCCACATGAAAATTGAACTTAATAACATTTCTAACTTGGTGCCTTAACCAACCTGGCTCTCTTTTAAGATTCATAGTGGCGCAGGATTATGATCTCACTGAGGTGTAACCTAATTTTTTATTCCCCACCCTCCAAACTGCATCGCCTCCATTTTTTTTTTGCAGGTTACGGAAAAATCTGAAAGCGCTAATAATCGTTCACCCTTCCTGGTTCATTCGGACGGTGCTGGCAATATCCCGGCCATTCATCAGGTAAAGGAATGAAAAAGCTGGAGGGAAACTGAGCTTCTTCATCCTCTTTGAACGGGCCCCACAATCCCTTGCAGGGTGGAGTCTGGGCAACTAAATGGAGCTGAGTGATTACTGGCCGGATGCCCGTCCTGTCGCCAAGGCGGAGTTGGAAGACTGCTATCATGTTACACACACACCCTACTCCAAACCCTAGTAAGGCCACACCTGGAATATTGCAACCGATTTTGGTCACCGTGTTACAAAAAAGTTGTTGAGACTTTGGAAAAAGTGCAGAGAAGAGCAACTAAGAGGACTGAAGGCCTGGAGTCTAAAACACATCAAGAACTGCTGCAGGATTTGGGTTTGGCTAGTCTAGAGAAAAGAGGATTTAGGGGTGAGATGATAGCAATATTCTAGTTGAGCTTTAGAGCTCCCACTGCCTTAAGAAAGCTCAAAACAACCTCAAAGATCCATCTCATCCCGGGAACCCTTTTTTTGTGAACTATGACCATCTGGCAGACGGTACAGGATAATAAAAACAAGGACAAATAGGCTGAAAAACAGCTTCTATCCCAGGGCAGTAGCTCTGTTGAATTCTGCGGTATAGTGCAGTGTTGGTGTGGTGTCGGGGGTTTCCGGTTCAATGTGTGAAGGGTGAAGGATGTGTTCATTTTCATGGTCATGATGTGCACTGAAGAGGGTGTTTGATTTCGTTGTCCGAGGTGCAATGACAATAAAGTAAACTAAACTATTTGAGGAACTTCCCCAAAGAAGAGGGGGTCAATTTATTCTCCAAAGAACCAGAAGGCAGGACAAGAAACAATGGGTGGAAACTAACCAAAGAGAGAAGCAACGTGGAATTAAGGAGAAACTTCTTAACGGGGAGGACAGTTAACCAGTGGGAGGTTTTTAAGAAGAGACTGGATAGCCACTTATCTGAGATGGGATATATTCTGCTGCTTGAGCAGGGGGCTGGACTAGAAGACCTCTGTGATGACCCAGGGTGGGATACAAAACAAACACAGTCACAGAAAACAGGTGAAGCCCCTTTTATTCCTTCACTTTGCTTCCAAGCTCTGAATATTCTTGACGGAAGCCAAAAAACTCCCACACAAACAGTTACAAGAAGAAGGAAAAAAGCAACACAAACCAGGCAAGATAAGGGCTGGAGGATGTCCACAGATAGCACACACTGGGAAGGACGCCAAACTCAAGAGAGGAACTATAAACTAGAGATATTTCCATGCTTTGTTTCCAGCGTTTGCCAATGCGCATGTCCGTCCTCGTATTCAGTTGTCACAGCTGCAGCTCATGAAGGGGATCAGGGCCCTTTCCTCCCCCGTAGACCACGCCATTCACATTTCTCCCTTATCCGCTCCTCCCTTCCTGCCCTAGGATGGAGAGGGGATGGGCCTGGGTCCTTCTCTGACTGCCCAGCCGGCCTCTGCCCTTCCCCAGCCTCCTCCACAACCTCCGGAGCCACACCTCCACTCCCTGTTGACTGTTCCCCCTCCCCCTCAGAGTCAGTCTCCACCAGGGGCATGACAACCTCCAAGGTCCCTTCCAGCTCTATTCTACCCAATTCCCGCCACAAATTCCTGTCACAAATGGCGATTGCGTATCTATAAGACCCCGCAACCCTTGTAAACACAAGCTAGGGTCCAAGTGCTCAGATTGAGATCCGGTGAGTTCAGGGGTCGTGTGACCGTTGTAACTCTTGAGGATGAGCCTTAGGTCATGTTTTCCAAGGCCATTGCAACTTCAAACTGTTGTTCAACGAGGGGTTGCGAGTTCAGGCACTTCCTGTAGAAAGAAGCTAAAGCTAAGCCTCTCTTTTCTCTTTCCAGTGTGAAATTCATTAGCAAAATCCAGTATGTTCACACCTTGGAGGAACTGGCTCATACGATTCCCATGGAGCATGTCCAGATTCCAGATTGCATCCTGCAGTAAGTGTTGTTGTAATTTTGAGGCCCTCAGAACCACAACACTATGAAATAATAACATCGCCTTCATCATTTAATGGCCCTATAATCCCTTGCGGAGTGGAGTCTAGGCAACTGAATGGAGCTAGCTAGTTTACTGGCTGCCCTTCCTGTTGCCAATGAGGAGTTTTATTCGGCAGATCTATTCTCAGTGGGCCCAGAGAGAGAAATAACTGCCTCTACCCAGGATTGAACTCACAGCCTCTTGATTGTGAGGTGATAGCTCCATCTCTAGGCCACCGTGCCATTCTTGCCCCTGTGAAATAATTACCTACAGTAATTAAAATAAGAAAGGCTGCCCTTCTTCACTGGAGTGGTTCCAGGGTGTTTCCAATTTCATTGTACACATGTTGTGCATTGACAATAAACGTTTATTTGATTGATTGATTGATTGATTGATTGACTTGAGCTAACCCTAACCCACTGGTGGTCCGTGAGAAATTTTTGATGGTCCGCAGAGAAATGTCCCCCCCCCCGCCCAAAGCAATTAATCTAGGCTGCGTGGGAACACAAGGCTGCGCTGCCCACATGGCCTGCCCACCCGGTGGCCCCCACCCTTCGGCCAAGTGCAAACCTTACCTTGAGTAGAACCACGCAACCCGGAGCGGCCAGGGAGGGAAATCCGCCCCAGGGTGGCTTGCTGGCGTTGATGGGAAAGTCGGTCCCATATTTCGGAGCTGCAGTAGTCGCCGGATTGGCCCTTTGGTCAATCCCGGAGCAGCTCCTCCAGGCCATGGCAGGCCAGTGCACCCAGGTGTAGTAGCTGCTCCGGGGTGACCAAAGGGCCAGTCCTGTGATGCCTGCAGCTCTGGAACACGGGACCGACTTTCCCTCTGACGTCAGCAAGC